TTTTCCTTTTTGACTTTACCATCAAGGGACTTAATCTGAAATATTTAAACAAAATTGTTAAGGGGAAAAAAAAAAAAAGTTAAAGTATAACCTCAATTTGTTACATGAAAGCTCATTGGCAGTCCAGTTGTTGCCAGATATTGTAATTGTGAAGGTTAATCAAAAATGCTAGCTTTTAATTATGGGGGGTGGGAGGTACTTTCCTGTAGTCATTTTTTAATGAGTGGTAGAAGCTAGAGCATCTAAACCATTTATGCATCATAGCCCAGATTGTTGGTCACTCCCATCATACGGTGCTATGCAATAGCTTCGGTCTATGTTATAGACCAGTTGCCCTCAAGATCCACCGTACTTACATACCAGTTGAGTAGACATCAACCCCCCCACCCCCACCCCAACCCCACAAGCACAGCTTTCTGGCTGCTTGAAGCCATCTGAAGAGATTGAGAAGATGAACCAAAAAAAAGTCAACACATGTAGCGATCCATTTTGTTCCTGTGGTTACGAACATCTCCATGTCCTGATTTAAAAAGGACAAATCTAACATAAAAATGCATAACCAAAAATGAATAAGCAATACATTTTGCTCGTTCGAATAGATGAGGGCCATGAACATGAGCACATGATTCAACAGAGTTTATTGTTGCAGCTTAATTCATAAAGAACCCCTAAACCACAGCCTTACATGGACAATCATCCTACACAACCACACATGTATTCTTCCACAAATTTGCATGGTAATTCACCTTCTCCTCCTTCCTCTTCTCCTTGTGCTTGTCCTTGTATTTGTCTGTGCTGCCATCTTTGTGCTTCATCTTTTCCTTCTCCTTGTCTCTGTGTTTTTTGTCCGAGGAGTCCCGGTGATCGCTAGAGGGTTAAAAAATAAAATATTAAATTTAGGAGATTTCAGCATTATTATTTATTACAGAAAACACTGCAGTAATCAAGTGGTATGCTTTGTCCACTTTAAGGAAGCTGTACATTTACGAAGATTCTGGAAGCACACACCATACCTGTTGCCATGCTTGGATTTCTCCCGTTCCTTATCCTTCTTGTGGTCCTTATGTTTGTATTCCTTGTCTTTATACTTGTCTTTATGCTTGTGAGAGTCTGTGAAGAAAACAGTGTCACATTCTTAAGTGAACAAGATATTGACTGAAACAATTAATGACTGCCACTTGTGTACAGAATCATACTGAACCTCATGTAGGAATCAAAGACAAACTAAGTGCACTCCCCTCAACCAGGTGATAATGTGGACAGGCTAAGAAAGGCAATGATCCACATAATATAGGAAGTCCACCCACATAACGTCATGTTTTTACTTAAGTCTAGCTTAAGTAAAAACATGACGTAAAATAGCTACACAACGTCTGGCCATGCACCACAATCTGAATGTCATGCCTTGTGTAGACTGAAAATCTATTACACAGTAGCACAGCACCTCCTACTGTCCGCATCAGCCTCATTGAGACAATACGAAACAAACAGGTTGAAACATGCTAGAGCACAAAGTAGACTTTCACCCTCTTTAAATATGACAGACACAGCTGAAGAGAGAGAGAAAAAGACTAAGTGTAGGAAAGAGCAATAACCCAAATTTAAAAGACGACACCTAAATCATTACAACAACCAAATCACATCTGTGTGATAAAGTGAGCCCATGGCTATAGACCTGGTCTTAAGCATAGCCGACAGTCCTAGTAACAAGCTGCATGTATTCCCCTGCCAGTGTAAAACACACAACTCTCATATTCACACTGAAAAGGTTCGACTTACTGATTCAGGCTCAAACAATCGCTAAACCCACAACAGGACTTGGAGCTTTACTTTGGTTGTTCCATCACTGTAAACTAGTCGTCTTTGTTCAGCCATGATGACAATTTGATTTGTATTGTCCTCTCACATCTAAGCCGAATCACTGTGCGATACATTTAAATGACCCTGCCCTTTTCCACTCCATTAAGTTACTGAAGACTCAACTCAGTTAACAGCCTGTTATGTTATTGACTAGTGAACAAGTTGTGCTAAACAGTCCAAAATGTTTGCATATAGTAAAGTATGTGCTAGTTAATGGTTGAGTGTGATGACAAATGCCAATCTTGCTTGTTAATCTTATGGAGTCAGACTGTTCAGTCCAGTCTGAAGGAAATGCCACTGGAAGTGAAGCCAAGGCCCTTTATGTCCAACAGTAAATGTTATCCCATTGCTGAAGAACGGAAACCAAATAAGTAGCCTGGTATAGTTGTCTAGATAATCTTTAACAATATGGATGCACAGGAAGTCAAACTCAGATAATCAACAACAATCATCATCATCAATCTTCCATGCGTGGATACGGAGAGAAGGCTGAACAATTTGTCTGAAATCTGGCATATTTAAGATTTTGTACTAGGTAGTCAAGTGTTTACAGTGTATATCATAGTAACTGTAGTAATTTTCGAGGTATGGATTATTGTCACTGTGTTATATGCTTGATATAGGTTTCTAGAGCTTAAACAGACAAATGATAACTCTGTACTGTCTACTTTTAAGATATTGTCCAGACCCTCTAATATCTAATACCTCGTTTAACTTACAATGTGACAATGAATTAAAGTTAATGACTTGTGTTGACTGTTGAAATGTGGATCCAACTTAAACGGTCCACTTTCTCCTAGCATGTTGAAATGTCAAGTCCCTGTAGCTATAATAAAAAAATAACTTTAGCTATGAAAAGGCGTTTAAGACCGCGTATAATAAAATCTCTTCTTTGTCACCACATGGGATCTTTATGAAGCACTATGCTTTCGCATTTCTCCACCACACAGCCATCTGCACTTCACAGCCTGGGTTCAGCTTGCAGTACAGTCAGGCCGCTACACCGAAAAAGAAAATGGCGCAGAGACTAAGTCCTCAACCCCCAAACCCTCACTTTCAGATGGGAAATGTGGTATTAAATGCGAACCGAAGAGAATTTTTAATACGATAAACTGATAAAACACCTCAAGGTGTGTGCCAGTAATGATTCGAATCGAGAAAATAGTTGGCAGAACAGCTTTTATTAGACCTCCCTTTTGAACAATAGGCGCTTGTGAGTGAGACAGAGGACTTAGTCTCTGGACGCCATTTCTGTCCTCTACTGAGAACTAACGTAACGTTACATTTGAGCAGTGAAGACATGTCAGAGTTAGAGGAAAATCCTCCTATAAACTTGTTAGCTTCATGTCAAACTTACCATTGAAACGGGAGCCACAGTCAATCTGAAAAATGAAAAACAGATGAATGTTAAATTTCGCAGTAGCTAACTAGCCGGCTAACTAACTTTGAACTTGCTGGATGGCACAGCGACAGTTTGTTAGCTACCCAGCTAGCTAGGCTAGCTTGCTACGCTGGTAATATGCCTTGGCGACTGATACCGAAGCCGCTACGGCTAACGTTGGCTACAGCTAACGCCAAATTAAATGTAGCGTTACCCCACTTTGTCTTGGAGTTCGTGCTTAGCTAATCAACCCTGAAAGCTAACTAGACATCGCCCTTGCCGTAATAGTACATATACAAATGTAATGAAACGTGTCAGGGGGATGTTAGCAACAAAATGAGTTGAGTTACTGAGTTGGGTTACAAACAGACTCGGCTAACGCGCGCTAGCGGGCACTATTCAGTTAGCCAAGTTACCTTGTCACACCAAGCAAATAAAACGTTAGCAAAAAATGTACCCGTTAACCACCAGTGATGACATGACTAGATAAATTTAATATTACCTGGCCCTCGCTGTTGGAATGGTCCCCACTCATTTCCTACGCGTCTTTGATTAGAAAACCAAAACTGACAAACGTGTAGGGTTACCACACACCGGCTAGGAGATGCAGGCAGAATGAAAAAGACACCGTTGTGTAAGAGATGTTCAAGTCCCAGTTGTACACTAATACGCATGCGCCATAATTTAAATGGAAGCGAGCAGTGTAGCTCCTCCTCTTCACAAAACGTGTTGCTCCGTAGGCCCAAGATTTTTATATACAGTCTATGCATGATGAGACACACCGTTCAGTGGGAGGTACACGTTGCTCCAGGATCATTGCAATACTTGTTTATCCGTTTATTTGTATTCACTTAATCTAATAAGTGACTGAGAGCAAAAGGAGAAGCTCGTATATTATTAATAATAATCAGATTTTTTATCATGTCTGTGGAGGTCTGTCCTTTGAGATACAGGCCTATGCTCTTGTGACCTTACCGTTATATCATTTAGTGAATATGCATATCAAGTAATTCGACTGTCTAATGGCATTGCCGAAACAAATAACGGAAATTGACATACATGTTAGTTGAGTGAGCTTAGTCAGCCTTCAAGACCTTGGAGTGCTGTTGTGCTTTTAATTATTTCAAAATTGGTGTAGGCCAGAATTTGTGGTTCGTAAGAGACAGGAGCCCATCCAGCCTATCATGAAACAACTCAAAGGCTCAGCCTTAAGTTGATAAGAAAATTCAAAGTAGAATGTATGGTTCAGAATAACCACCTGAAATGTCCTAAAAAGTAGGTTTCTGTCTTATGCCAGCTGGCCTTGGTGATTCTTTCTATATCAATAAAAATGTGTAGTCTTTCAAGGGGATTCCCAAGATGGTTGACAGGTGACCACTGAACAACTTAAAATCAAATCTGAAACACAGGAAAGAATCTAATAACATTTTTATATGATTCTTGTTATAGACTATTATTGAACACATTAATATTTCTGAATGTTTTTCCATCAACATATTTTCCTCAGAGGTTATGAGTATAATGTACATACTGGTTGATGGGCATGCATACATACATACATACATACATACATACATACATACATACAGGTAATGAGAAAAAAAAAAAAAAAGTATTTCTCAGTTAGGGATGCAAACAACTTGATGGTGGATCTGATTGAATAATGCTCAAGGCAAACTCATTTTGTCCACAAGAGGGTATCGCAATCCAAAATATTACCTATTAAGATTAACCTGTTCTCACAGAACACTAAAGCACTACTGTTGACTCAGATATAGTTCAAACTTTATCTTAAAAAAGGAGTTTAGATGTAGCTGATTAAACAGATCAAAATGCATTATTCCACAATGTAAAAAAAAAAAAAGGCTGCTAAGAAACATGATAGATGGTGGTGTACCGTAAGGAGGTTTCGTGTGATTAAAACTAAAAGAAATATTGTGCCACATCTAAGCTATAATTGCATTTGCCTGATTGTAGTAAAATACAGTTCTTTTTATTGTATAGTACTATATTATAGATCTAGCAATGTACAACTGACAATCCAGTTAAAATTTTCACCACCACACAAACATGTCACCAAGTGCTTCAGTGGACTTCATGTGTATGTTGCCTGGTAAATTAAATTAAAGACAGGAAAACAAGTGACAGGCAACAATTTCTTTTAAAACTCTTAGTATAAATAATCAGTGTAATAACAGCAAGACATTCAAGAGATAAAGACATTTCTGAACTACAATATTCTTTTGCTCTTCAACAATACTTTAAAACATCCATTTCAGTTCCTGCTGTTTAGATGTCACAAACACAAAATCTTGCTGATTAAGCAGAGATGCAAGGTTACTAAGGCACTGTTATGGGAACATTGTCTCCTCGCCCTCACATGCGTTTAAGACTCCTGATGGTTTGGCTCTGAAAGTGGCGTGGCTGGGTTCTGGTATAAAAACATGTAGGAGTCACACAGCAGCCTGCGCACTAGTTCAGGAGCCTGGGAGGGGTTAGCCCGAGCCAGCTCCTCCTCTGGCTGGGACAGGAAGTCACCCAGCTCCGGGCAAGCTCTGATCTCGGGAATGTTGTAGCCACGTTGATCACCACCTGTAAGGAAGGGTGGCCCTAAAGATTAGACATCAGCTCAAGAAGAGATAAAGACCAGTCATAGACGTCAGAGTGTGGCTTTATCTAATACTGTCGAGGCTTCACAGTTAACACAAACATCAGTAAGATTGTTTGATAATGCTATAATGCCATTTAGACTTCTTACTCAAGCCAAGAAACAACCTATCGATTCAAATAAATAAGACAAGCTGAAATCTTTCTTACCACATCTGTCAGCCATGCTGTCAAAGAAGAGCCAGGAGTGAGGATTAAGGCCATATTTGACAAAGGACACATAGTGGCTGGTTTGAATGCAGAGCACAGCAAACAGCTGCATCGTGTGCCTGGGCACAGGATTATCAGAGGATACTTCTGCTGGTACTGCTAGAGGTTTGGGGGAGTGACCCTGCCGCGAAGAATGAGTGTGCACCTTAAAGTTAAAAAAAATAATAAAATAACAATAAAAAAAAATTGTTTTACACTTTAGGTTTAGTCCGCGGGATATTTGACATCTAAAATGGCCATCTGGCTCACCTGTGTGTTGCAGACAGTGCAGTACTGTTTGATTCTCCCTGGCTGCAGTTTGCGATCTGTTAGACACTGAAGACACTCGTATTCTGCCAAACGCCCACAGACGAAGCATTCCCTTGGAGCTGAAAAATAGGTGAGCCGTAAATATCTTTAAGCTCTGCAAAAACAGTGTATTAAAAACAAGTATTCCAATAACAACCAATAGGATTTAAATCAGTGCCGATTATGCCTGTTCCTCACAGTTGTAAAGGAGATCTGTGATGTCTAGCTCAGTGGAGGGAATGATGTGAGAAAACATCTTATACTTGTTCCCAAACCTTGGCATCTGAACCATGAGACAGGACGGCATCTGAGGGGAAAACAGGAGAAGCAACAGTGGGATTACATCATTGAACCGAGGAACACTTGGAAAAAAACCCACTAGGGCCTTTTTCCCCCCCCTTTTAAGAGGAGCACACGCTCACCTCTTCAAACTTGAGGTCACTCGACAGACAGGATGTGTCCAGCAGCTGTTGCACGGTGGGCATCTGTCCCATTTGTTCTTTTTCCAGAAAGATCTGGAAGGTGTAGGCGCCCTGAGATGTTTCTTGTCCCGATCTAAAAAGGAAAAAAACAAACAAAAAAAACACAGAATTTCCTTAACTCAAATTCACACAGCCAAATAGGACAGGATGTTTAATAATGGGTGGCTCAGCGTCTTACCTGAGCTTGAGCAGCGGCTCCACGCAAAGCACCTTCTGAAAGAGGAGCGTGATGAACTCCTCTGGGTCTGCAATGAAGCAAAGCAAATGAAAACATAACTGTAAACTGGGATTCAGTATATTAATGTTGCAATGACTAAAATATCTGTTGAAATATATTTTAAACAAAGTATGTTTCAATGTATGGGTGTGCACCTTTTTCCTCTGTTCGGAAGGTGTCGCAGCCGAGCTGTTCACGGAAATTCATCACACTCTGAGCAGGCACAAAGCCTCGTCTGCAATAAATACATTAGCTATCAGTAAGCAAACAAGAACTCATACACTGCATTCACCAGAACAATCAAATGTTCAAATAATGTTCTTGATGATAATACAAAGCAGTAGTAAAACAGTCTTGAAGACCGACTTTATACCTGCGTAAACAGTTGACTATTTTTCTAAGACTGCAGGTTATGGGTTTCTCTGTGTCAGCAGGCTTCTGGCAGATATGCTCCAGGGTCACAGATGAGCTGAACAAACTGAAGAGAGACAATCACATTGTTTTATCAACTGAACACTTATCTGAATACAGTTCACTGTGCTCATTTAGTTGTACATGAACTTCCCCAAATAAAATTACTTTAGATAGATAATGTGAGATTAAAGTCAATCGGAGTTGAGTTTTCAGCGGCACTTGAGGAACACATGCCCTGAAGGGACGGGTTTTACCTGAAGAGTGTGGCATCAAGGTAACAGGAGTTGAAGTGACCCTGAATCCCTTTCATTTTTCCCACTAACAAAGACGAGGCCTCTGATTCAGGGATAGGTGGCGTATCTTTGTCTGAGTCCTCAAATGGAGAAACTGAAAACAGCAAGCAAACATCCAAACACAGACATTGCTGTTAAATGATATTAACACATTTCACCTGTAGCATTAGATTTGAGAACCTTTGTATTCTGCAACAGCTTAAATCACACAGGCATTTAAGGATAATGATTAATCTGCTTTTCTAAAGCAGGAAGTTCACAGGACTGTCAGGCATGTTCCTCTGTGTCATAAACCGTGTATTGTTTGAGGTGTCATTGCAAACTTCTCTTCACTAGAACCAGAAGCAGAAGGGTGTGAAAATGAAGTCAGTTAAACTAATTAGAAAGCATGATTTGTGCAAATTTTTTGGCCACTTGTACAAAATCCAAGTGTGACACTTCAACAGGATGCAAAGTTCCTAAAAACTGATGCAGTGAAGTTGTGTTGAATGAAGGAGTTAAGAGTGTCTTCAGGCAAAGACTTATACCCCCAAGGTGTTCACTGAACGACAAAGGAGATAATTCCTGCTGGTGGCAAACTCATCCTCCTTTGTTGGAAATTTACATGTTGTGTAACTTCTGACATATTGCAATACAACCCCCCCCAAAAAAAGTTCAGATGTTGCAAAATATCCTGTATCAATTCAATTTTGTGCAGTGTACTGCTCAGTCCACCACAGTTCAGAAAAGATCATTCTAAAGTTAAGCTAAATGCTTACTTTTATTTTGTACAAGAAAAATTAACACTGGTAAAAACGTAAGTTACAATTTTACATGACTGAAAAAAAACACTTTGAGCATTCATTTTTATAAAATGTGTGTAAATTTGAATTGCTTGTGCATGCGCATCCCACCAAACTAGGAGAATTGTCTAACCTGGACCCGCTTCAGTGGGTTGGTGGGTCTCACTTCCTGTAGAGGAGCAGAAGAACCTGCTATCGGGGCTGCACTTTGTGACAGGAACAAACAACCCCCTGTTCCCTTTGCAGGTGAAATACCTCTGGCTTCCGTACTTCCCATCAGAGCAGCCGTTCACATCATAGTCCTGAAACAATGAAAACCAAATCAGATATGGAGGTGTTTTGGATACCTAAAGCAGACACAAAACTTAACTGTACAAAAGATTAGTCACTCACCAATTCAATCCCAGCCCATTCATCTGTCTTCCCTCCAGGGACCCCCAACCACCGGACGACTCCATACACTGTGATCCCTGTGTTGGACACCACCTCCACCATGGATCCCACCTCAAAAGATGCATGAGACGTGCTCGAACTTTGGCTCTGAATGACACTCTGCTCTGTATGGTTCTCTCTCACTTGTCGTGCACGAGATCCTACATTTGGCATGGAGTTGATGCGAGTCACCGCTTTTCTGTTCAGACCTGCGGAGAAGTGTGGAGGGTGCGTGAGGACGGGGAGGTTGGTGTTTAGAAAGTCATGTGACATTTTTTGAGGGTTGTCACATGCATCAGATCAGATTGCAGGTGGCAACATGGCACAGGTGTACACATGAGGTATGTGACAGCTCAGAGAGCACAATGTGCAAAAATCACCATACCATAATATTTTACATTCCAGAGAAACGGGACCAGTTTTTCCAGTTATGTACTAGGACTGCTTCTTCAGCGCCCCCTCTGTAGTCACAAGTGTTTTCTCAGAACTATTATTTGGAGGTCGGAAGGGAGGGGGGTTGGAGATTATGTTTTGAACCCCCTCCACCAAAAAAAAAAAAAAAAAGGATTCTCAGTTGGATTTTTTTTTAAAGTGATTTAGTTTTCATAAACCTGGGACACCGCCACCAAGTACCTTGTGGTTCAGAAATGTCACACGCTGACTTTGAAAGAGGCAGGTGAGCTGTGACTTTGACCTGTTTACTTACTCCCACATTGGCTGTCTTTCCAGTGCAGTCCGAGGGGAACGGAGTAAGATGGGACCACCTGGACGATGTCAGCAGCACTGAACAGGGGCAGAGGAGCAGGTTTCTTGGATGACAAATTGTCATCAATGTCCTACAAGAGAAGACAAAGAAAAACATGTAACTCTATCATGTACTGTAACACAGATAAAAGCTCTTGTGCGTGTGTACATTTTGCCAAGTCACGTATCTCTGTGGCAATCTTTTGACCGATACTGTAAATACACAAAGATCACAGGAGGTGATATGATCACCCTTGTCTGATTTTTTCAGGTTCTATTAGGGTGCATGTGTAATTATTATATAAAAACCTGATAATTGCGCTATGCCACTACTATCTTGTTCTTTACCCTCACCCCCCCCACCCACACACACACACACTTTGATACTGCAAGAGCCATACAAACAACTCTACCCACCACAAATTCCACCTCAAAGCCAAGCATGTGCAAGTCGTCTTTGTTCTCCTTCCTCCCAATTAGCATCATATTCTTCACCAGCCCGGGCAGGTGTCCCTTCTTGTGCTTGACCACCACCAGGTCATCCTGAGACAGCTCACAGATGGCTGAGAACAGCTGCGGGTTACACAGCAGCTCAAGGCGTTTGCTTGCGGGGGAAACGAAGAGCAATAGCTGGGCTTGGTGGCGGGTCAGAGGGTACGTGTCCTCCCTCCTCACGATGCCTCCGGTCTTGGGGCTCCCTGCGTTGCTGCAGCCAGAGTACAGCAGCCCCATCAGCTCTCCGCCCTGCGTCTCTGCCTCCACACGGCCGACGCATCCTCGGCAGAAGCCTTTCCTCGCCTTCCCGCGTATCACGATGAAGAACTTCTCCTTTCCCACAGTTTTGGGCTCCATTGAAACCCTTTGTAAACCTTCACCAGTATAGTCTGTTAAATCGTTTTGAAACAGGTACTGTGCTTATAGAAGCAGTTAACCTGTGGAAATACAACAGGAGCACATTATTACATTGCGGACTAACAATAGCTCCTCGCGAAGGTTGCTTAATGACAAAGTTGGGAGAAAAGAAATTACACAGGAATTTCGAATAAAAACCAGATTTCCTGTTTAACAGTAGGCTATTCACCATGCCTCACATATATTGCCCACAATTGGCAAAACTGGAGCAACTTTAAGAATGCAGCCAAAAGAATGTGTGTTGTAAAACATAGTTTCCCTTAAGTCCCTGCAAGATATAGTTTCAATATGGAAACTCCCCGTTTAAATAAACACCTGCTCTGCAGCAGTACTCTTAACACATTTATAATCATTAACATTCATTAGAGTTGAAACAACAGATACTGCATTACTTACTGTTTTTATTCGTCAAGAGCAATAAGCCAGCTCCGCAACCAAACTCCACCGTTTCCACACGTATTAATTGCGCACAAAAGCATGGGATTCCCGCAGCTACAGATTTCTTCCTCTTGAATTCTACTGAATAGGTGAGGTAACCTGCAATCATTTAAATGCTGACCTGCCATGTGACCGACAACGCCCACAAAGTAGCCCAATCTCTCCGCCCTAAAACTGTCCTCCCAGCGAGATTTCCGCATCCACACATAACTGTAAATTTGATAAGAAAAAAGGGAGGCAATTGTTGGCTGTATCACTCAGCTGCAAGTGGAGAGCTAATTTGACATGCAACACCTGAACACCGATAAGACCACTGCACAGTTTAAGAGTAAACTCACGCTAAACTTTAAATTAGGGTCTAGATTAAATTCATTCTTTTTCTTTAACACAGCTCAACATATTCCAAATATCCTCCCTGTGGATTTGTTTAGGAGAATGCATGTAGGTCTCTGCATCAATATTCGGTGTGTATTTACATATCCATATTTGCCTCTAAATCGGTCTGCCTTTTACATTATTGCAGAATATGTAGTGACATGTTAGTATCCATCTCATGACCTTTGACTCGTCTTCTTTTCATAAACTGCTCTGTGTCATTAGAGGTGACATTAAGCCGATCCTCAGCCTAAAAACTCCTGCGGAGCTTAAATTTCTCAGAATATGGTTTGGTGAACACAACCAGTCTGTTTTCTGCTATTTGAGGCTTCACTGTAATCTTTTAAAAAATTACACGCGATGTCTCCATATCCTGATGATCATTTATCCCTGTAATATTACTCACCAGTGGCTGCAAAGAAACTGTATTAACGCATATTTAGCAGAAAGTAGCCAAGGCCTAGAGTGCAACGATTTGAGTGACATGTTTGTCTGCATGCAGTCTTAACACATGTGACAAGTCATACCCTGTGACGCAGTTGGCCTGAATGTCTGGCTTGAGTATCCTGACTGCACATCGGCTTTACATAACAGCCCTTATTTTCTTCAGCATGCATATGAACAGTGGCCATGCATTCTCAACTAGCATGAAACGTTTGTTCTCTCTCCTTTATTAAAAAGACAAAACAAAAAACAACCACATGACAATATATCAGATCGGAGCTCTATTGTTCATTTAATCCGTTTTAAAGACACTTCATATGAATAAACACGTTTGCCATCTTTACTAGAAGGTACTTGTTGCAGGACTGCCCTCTGTTGGCTGGTGACCACAATAACATGAGCTGCTGGAGAACAACAATCCTAAACATAACTTCATACAGAGCAACAACAGCTCATCCAGATACGACTTTATAATATGCCTTGAAAGATATTTATGGAAAAAATTCACGAGAACAATAAAACTATCATAAACTTATCAGATTATTCTGGTACTGTTAAGGCCGTGATGTCATCTTTGTTCCTCAGGATCCCGTGGACAACAGAGTTTGTCTTCACTCTTTGAACTACGTGGCCCTTTTCTTGCAAAAACTGCACACTCTCTTCTGGAAACTCAGCTGACGAGGGAGAATTCAGAAAGCAGGAAATGGCCAATATGAAAGAAAATGACTAATTTAATAGCAATAAATGCAGAGGTCAGCCACTGAATACTGTTTTATACGTACGGTCAACAAGAAGCCTGTTGGGCTGCAGTTGGGGATAGAGTCTTCTCAGGGGGAGGCTGCCATTTTTCTCTTTATGTAAGGACAGCGCAGTGATCAACACCTACGGTAAGACACACAAAACATCTAAATTGTAAATGATTTTGCATTAAAAAAAAAACCCATCTTCCACTGAATCAGAATCTAAATCTTCATAATGTGAAGTGATCAAACCTGGGTGATCACACCCAAACTCTGTTGTCCATCTGAGCTGCCTAGTGCCATGTGGATCCCACATTTGTGCCACGCTGGCACCACTATTGTGGGCATTAGAGATGATAAAGGCCTCTTTCCTGGCTGGACTCGGTTTCTCTATGGCACAAAGGGCAAGCAGTGAGCCATGTTTAAAAGAAATACTTTGTACCTTGTGTGAGGTTTCTAATGGTATTGCACCTGGTTGGTTTCGAGTTGCCCTCTGGTTTTGTTTGGCCAGGAGAAGTCAAGGATGAGGCTGTTGAGAATAACACCGGACCGAGTTATGATTCTGCTACCAAATGGCCTGCTCAAGGAACTGTGAGATCATAAAGACAAGAGATGAGATAAAATAATGTCAGCATGCCCTGCAGCACATACCATACATATCTTCCTGGTGTGATTATTTATTTCAGACTGCAGGCAGTTACATCATCACCTTGCAACTGATACCACAAGGTCATCTGGTCCCATGACTACTACTTGGCCAGCCATCACGTCTGTCTGTAGGGAGTGGACAACCGAGTAGGACTCGGGTAGAGACGTATGGGAGTAATTGATCCTCTGGCGAAGCACTTCAGCGTGGCTCTTGCTATTTTAGCGAGAGCAGTGAGAAAATAAACAGGACGTTAACTGAAATGCCTGATGTACTGATTAGTTAGTTTGGTGTTGTGCAGTAGAGATGGCAGTCTACTATGAACATGAAAATATGATTTATGATCTCAGTTATCTGTCATGAAGTAGAGATGAAACGCCAAGTTGCTTAATTGAGTAGTTGATGGTCAGAAAACTAATTTTGATCAATCAATTCATCATTTCAGTTGTGTTTTAAGAAACAAAGTATTCTCCAAGGCTCCAATGTGAGGATTTGATGCTCATCCCTGTCATATATAAAAAGGAAACATCATTTGGTTTTAGACTGTTGGTCAGATAAAACATGACATTTGGAGGTAGTCTGATTAATCAATAATGAAAATAATCTTAATCACAAGCGGGATTCTTCAGTGTAGTTTACCTCAGCATGTCAGAGAGCAGCTCACTCACTGAAGAGTTATATTTAGGGTCACCCAAACCACTGGCCATAGCCAGTGCTGCTTTCAGCGCCTTAATAAGGAGAAATGAATCCATTTTATGCAACTACCATTTCAACCAGACCATATTACAATAAGACCATATTTAGGCTTTGCAATCCAGTACCTCAGCAATCCAGTGGTATGTTTGATTATCTGTGTTATTGTTCTCGCTGAGATGGAAGCCTGCCAAAAGGTTGAGCGCTGATATCAATGCTGCACCAGCCGATGGGGGAGGAGGAACTTGAATAATAAATTCTAAGACAAGAGTAACACTATATAGATGAAGGTATCAAGAATACATACGCATTGATTTGGTCTATTGTTAAGTTTAGTTTTTACCATTGTACAAGCCTTCCACCGGCTGCTCCACTTGTACGCTGTAGTTACTGATGTCGTCTGCGCTTAGGACCCCACCATTAGCCCACACCTTTGTATGAAAGCAGAGGAAAGGCTGTTACATCGTTGCTAAACCCAGACAAAAAGCAACTTTCACCCGATAATTAAAAAAGCCTACTCCATTTAATGTGTGAATGCCATTAACCTCATCCTCCATCTCTTGTGAGACGTTCCCATCGTAGAAGTTCAACAGACCAGCCTCTAGGACGAGAGCCAGACTGGGCATCCTAAGAAATGAACCAGGAAGCAGAGCCTGGCCATCTGGGAAGAACGTGTCCCGAAAACGTTGCGATAGCTGCTCACCCTTCACCTTTGATATAGCCTCAGCTGTGGCATTAGAATAATGAGTCACATCGTGGTATTTCACCCTCTGGTGACATCATCATGTTATATTGTGAGTGGCTGAATGAGAAAAGCTAAAGAGGGATGGTTTGACTCACCAAGAGTGAAAGACACATTGAAACCTTCTTTGGCAACAGCAGTGGCTCGAGCAACCACATCCTCCCATGGTAGACTGATGGACAGAATTTGTGGTAAGAGGTGTTAAAAGGTAGAAAATAAAGACTAAACACCAGATGAATTGCACTTCAAAAAACTCTTACCTCCCATACAGGCTGTGAGCATGGTGTAACCCTCTGAACATACCTGGCACTCCCACATGAAGACCTGCCTGATCAAGATTATACATGCTAAATGTTGGTAAAAATGATTCATGATAGCCACCTTCCCACATTTATATTACCTTTACTTCTGAAACATTTTGCAGCATCTCCTCTTTGAGTGTTTTAGGTGCACTTCCCAGAAAATGTATCACCCTGGTTTCATTCCTATGGATGTCATGGACCAGCATCACCCCACCTCTACAGGAAGAGGAACAAGCAAAGGAGGAATTTGTGATCAGACACATCTATGAATATTTTACAGTAAGCATGTCAACATGAAATCAGTCACATACCCACCAATACCGGACACATGTGGATGCACAACACCCAAACACAGGGCGGCCGTGATGGCTGCATCCACACTGGATCCATGATCCTGAAGGACTCTCTGGCCGAGTGCAGTGCAGCGCTCGTGATCCGACACCAACACACCTTTTACAAACACCTGAGAAGTAACTGTAATGAGCATAAATAATGCACTTGTGGTAATCCTTGCATATGTTACATAGCATGACATACCAAACTTTCCCCCAGGTAAATATGCAGGATCAGAGCAATGGTCACTCCAACGGCGAAAGTGATAGGTACAGCATATACAGGTATAGGAGTGTCCTGACTGGAACAGTCCTTGTATGTCTCTTTGAGGTTGGACAGGTTTTCGTCCAACACATTTGAGCTACCAGAGGGCAGCGGTTTCAGAGGGACCTCCTTTGGGAGATCTGTGGCAGCAGCAAGGAAACCGAATTTAAACTTTTACCACAGTGTAAATGTTTTAGTTTTGCAAGCCACTGAAGAGTTTTCAGCCCAGGCAATCAAGATTCTGCCTGTTTTCTAACTTTACATCTAACCAGGTGATTTACAACCAAAGTGTTGCAAATTAGCATCATGGCAGGATTAAATCAGGACAGAAATACAGCAGCATCTTGTTTGCTGAGCGCTAGGATTCTAAGCCATTAATGCTAAATCTTGTTTCCTCTCACCGGGGTATTTATTCAAGTCACAGCTGGAGTCACTTGGTGACGAGCCATCAGTCAATTCAGATGAACGAGCAAAGCTTTTGTAACTGAATGTTAACTGCTGGATAAGTTTAGTTTCAGGAGAAACATCCATCCTCACTGTATTCACTCAATGACTAAGTTGTTTCAAGACCACAGTAGGC